CTGGTGTGTGACGCTGTGTGTGTGACGGTGTGTGTGACGCTGTGTGTGTGATGCTGTGTGTGTGTGTGACGCTGTGTGTGTGACGCTGTGTGTGTGACGCTGTGTGTGTGACGCTGTGTGTGTGACGCTGGTGTGTGTGACGTGTGTGTGTGACGCTGTGTGTGTGACGCTGTGTGTGTGATGCTGTGTGTGTGTGTGACGCTGTGTGTGTGTGACGCTGTGTGTGTGACGCTGTGTGTGTGACGCTGTGTGTGTGACGCTGTGTGTGTGTGACGCTGTGTGTGTGTGACGCTGTGTGTGTGTGACGCTGTGTGTGTGACGCTGTGTGTGTGTGACGCTGTGTGTGACTGTGTGTGACGCTGTGTGTGTGACGCTGTGTGTGTGACGCTGTGTGTGACGCTGTGTGTGTGACGCTGTGTGTGTGTGATGCTGTGTGTGTGTGACGCTGTGTGTGTGACGCTGTGTGTGTGACGCTGTGTGTGTGTGACGCTGTGTGTGTGACGCTGTGTGTGTGATGCTGTGTGTGTGACGCTGTGTGTGTGTGTGACGCTGTGTGTGTGACGCTGTGTGTGTGACGCTGTGTGTGTGTGACGCTGTGTGTGTGACGCTGTGTGTGTGACGCTGTGTGTGTGACGCTGTGTGTGTGATGCTGTGTGTGTGTGTGACGCTGTGTGTGTGTGACGCTGTGTGTGTGACGCTGTGGTGTGACGCTGTGTGTGTGACGCTGTGTGTGTGTGACGCTGTGTGTGTGACGCTGTGTGTGTGACGCTGTGTGTGTGACGCTGTGTGTGTGACGCTGTGTGTGACGCTGTGTGTGTGACGGCTGTGTGTGTGTGACGCTGTGTGGTGTGACGCTGTGTGGGTGTGATGCTGTGGTGTGTGTGACGCTGTGGTGTGTGACGCTGTGTGTGTTGACGCTGTGTGGGTGACGCTGTGTGTGTGACGCGGTGTGTGTGTGACGCTGTGTGTGTGACGCTGTGTGTGTGACGCTGTGTGTGTGACGCTGTGTGTGTGACGCTGTGTGTGTGACGCTGTGTGTGTGACGCTGTGTGTGTGACGCTGTGTGTGTGACGCTGTGTGTGTGACGCTGTGTGTGTGTGACGCTGTGTGGTGACGGCTGTGTGACGTGGTGTGTGACGCTGTGTGTGTGACGCTGTGTGTGTGACGCTGTGTGTGTGACGCGTGTGTGTGACGCTGTGTGTGTGACGCTGCTGCTGTGTGTGTGACTGCTGTGTGTGTGACGCTGCTGCTGTGTGTGACGCTGTGGTGTGTGACGCTGTGTGTGTGACGCTGTGTGTGTTACGCTGTGGTGTGTGAGCGCTGTGTGTGGGACCGTGTGTGACGCTGTGTGTGTGACGCTGTGTGTGTGTGGATGCTGTGTGTGTGACGCTTGTGTGTGACGCTGTGTGTTGTGATGACGCTGTGTGTGTGACGCTGTGTGTGTGACGCTGTGTGTGTGTGACGCTGTGTGTGTGACGCTGTGTGTGTGACGCTGTGTGTGTGTGATGCTGTGTGTGTGACGCTGTGTGTGTGACGCTGTGTGTGTGATGCTGTGTGTGTGACGCTGTGTGTGTGACGCTGTGTGTGTGTGACGCTGGTGTGTGTGTGACGCTGTGTGTGTGACGCTGTGTGTGTGTGATGCTGTGTGTGTGATGCTGTGTGTGTGACGCTGTGTGTGTGTGACGCTGTGTGTGTGACGCTGTGTGTGTTATGTTGTGTGTGTGACGCTGTGTGTGTGACGCTGTGTGTGTGACGCTGTGTGTGTGTGACGCTGTGTGTGTGACGCTGTGTGTGTGATGCTGTGTGTGTGATGCTGTGTGTGACGCTGTGTGTGTTATGTTGTGTGGTGTGATGCTGTGTGTGTGACGCTGTGTGTGTGACGCTGTGTGTGACTGTGTGTGACGCTGTGTGTGTGACGCTGTGTGTGTGACGCTGTGTGTGGTGACGCTGTGGTGTGTGACGCTGTGTGTGTGACGCTGTGTGTGTGACGCTGTTGTGTGACGCTGTGTGTGTGACGCTGTGTGGTGACGCTGTGTGTGTGACGCTGTGTGTGTGACGCTGGTGTGTGTGGACGCTGTGTGTTGACGCTGTGTGTGTGTGTACGCTGTGTGTGTGACGCTGTTTGTGTGACGCTGTGTGTGACTGTGTGTGACGCTGTGTGTGTGACGCTGTGTGTGTGACGCTGTGTGTGTGACGCTGTGTGTGTGACGCTGTGTGTGTGACGCTGTGTGTGGTGTACTGTGTGTGACGCTGTGTGTGTGGACGCTGTGTGTGTGATGCTGTGTGTGTGACGCTGTGTGTGTGTGTGACGCTGTGTGTGTGACGCTGTGTGTGTGACGCTGTGTTGACTGTGTGTGACGCTGTGGTGTGGACGCTGTGTGTGTGACGCTGTGTGTGTGACGCTGTGTGTGTGACGCTGTGTGTGTGACGCTGCGTGTGTGACGCTATGCGTGTGACGCTGTGTGTGTGACACTGTGTGTGTGACGCTGTGTGTGTGACGCTGCGTGTGTGACGCTATGCGTGTGACGCTGTGTGTGTGACGCTGTGTGTGACTGGTGTGACGCTGTGTGTGTGACGCTGTGTGTGTGACGCTGTGTGTGTGACGCTGTTTGTGTGACGCTGTGTGTGTGACGCTGTGTGTGTGTGTGACGCTGTGTGTGTGACGCTGTGTGTGTGACCGCTGTGTGTGACTGTGTGTGACGCTGTGTGTGTGACGCTGTGTGTGTGACGCTGTTGTGTGTGACGCTGTGTGTGACTGTGTGTGACGCTGTGTGTGTGATGCTGTGTGTGTGACGCTGTGTGTGTGACGCTGTGTGTGTGACGCTGTGTGTGTGACGCTGTGTGTGTGACGCGTGTGTGTGACGCTGTGTGTGTGGTGACGCTGAGGGTGTGACGCTGAGTGTGTGACTCTGTGTGTGTGACGCTGTGTGTGTGACGCTGTGTGTGTGTGTGACGCTGTGTTGTGTGACGCTGTGTGTGTGACCGCTGGTGTGTGAAAGCTGTGACGCTGTGTGTGTGACGCTGTGTGTGTGACGCTGTGTGGTGTGACGCTGTGTGTGGACGCTGTGTGTGACGCTGTGTGTGTGACGCTGTGTGTGTGACGCTGTGTGTGTGACGCTGTGTGTGACGCTGTGTGTGTGTGACGCTGTGTGTGTGACGCTGTGGTGTGTGACCTGGTGTGACTGTGTGACGCTGTGTGTGTGACGCTGTGTGTGTGACGCTGTGTGTGTGACGCTGTGTGTGTGACGCTGTGTGTGTGACGCTGTGTGTGTGACGCTGTGTGTGTGACGCTGCGTGTGTGACGCTATGCGTGTGACGCTGTGTGTGTGACACTGTGTGTGTGACGCTGTGTGTGTGACGCTGCGTGTGTGACGCTATGCGTGTGACGCTGTGTGTGTGACACTGTGTGTGTGACGCTGTGTGTGTGACGCTGCGTGTGTGACGCTATGCGTGTGACGCTGTGTGTGTGACACTGTGTGTGTGACGCTGTGTGTGTGACGCTGCGTGTGTGACGCTGTGTGTGTGACGCTGCGTGTGTGACGCTATGCGTGTGATGCTGTGTGTGTGAGGCTGTGTGTGTGACGCTGTGTGTGTGATGCTGTGTGTGTGACGCTGTGTGTGTGACGCTGTGTGTGACTGTGTGTGACGCTGTGTGTGTGATGCTGTGTGATGACGCTGAGTGTTGATGTATGAAGCTATGTGTGACGCTATGTGTGACGCTGTGTGTGTGACGCTGTGTGTGTGACGCTCTGTGACGCCGTGTGTGACACTGTGTGTTGATGTATGATGCTGTATGACGCTATGTGTGACGCTATGTATGACGCTATGTATGATGCTGTGTGTGTGACGCTGCGCGTGACGCCAGTCGGACATCTTCTTCATGGCGTCGGGCCTGGTGACGTCGCGGCGCTGCTCCACGGAGCACAGCGCCGTCACCACGCCGCAGACGCCGCCCGGCGACGAGGAGCCGGCGCTGCCGCCCGCCCTGTCGCAGGACGGTGAGGACCGCCCTCGGGTCAGCGGTCACGTGACCACGCGCCACGCTGCCGCTCGCACTGCTGACGATGACGATGATGTCCCTCCACCCTCCGCCCGCCACAGGGGAGCATCAGCCGCGTCACATCTACAAGATCCCTCTCAGCAACCTGGTGGGGAGGAGCATCGAAAGGCCGCTCAAGTCCCCCCTTGTGGCCGTGGCCACTAGCCCACAGGCGGCCCCCGGTGGGGGTGGAGGGGGCGGGGGGGGCGCCCAGCCGCCACCCATCCCAGCGTCGCACTCCCTGCCGTCGACGCGAATGGAGATCAAGGAGATCGCGACGCGCACTCGCAGGGAGCTGCTGGGTGAGCTCGGGGCGGGTGGAGGAGTGGACGGGTGGACGGGTGGGCGGGCGGTAGACGAGAGGACGGGGGAGTGGACAAGTGGATGACTAGACGGAGGGGGTGAGGCGAGTGGAGAGGTGAATGGAGGAGAAGACGGATTAATGGACGACTGGATGGGTGAATGGACGACTGGGTGGGTGAATGGACAACCGGATGGATGATTGGACGACTAGACGGATGGAGGACCGGATGGGTGAATGGACGACTGGGTGGGAGAATGGACGTCACGTTGATTTTTTATATGGAGAGGGGAAAACCGGAGGAACCGGAGAAAAATCCACACGACCACAGGGAGAGAGAGAGACACGCAAACTCCAAATACACAGCTGGAATCAGGGTCGGGATCGAACCCACGACCTCCTGTACACCAGGCGAGGTAGTTAACATCTCCTAGCCACCGTGATGATGATGAGAGAGAGACACGCAAACTCCACATATACAGCAGCAGTCGTCAGAGTCGGGATCGAACCCACGACCTCCTGTACACCAGGCGAGGTAGTTAACATCTAGCCACCGCGGTGCCCACGATTCAGCAGCGTGCCCCAAAGTCAGGCAGGAACCCAAAAAAGCGAGGCATTTCCCGGGTCAACAAGCGCAACGATAACAACAACAACGACAACAACAACAGCAGCGGCAATGGTAATGACTGGCAGAGGTCGCAAACGGGTTTTGATTCCTTACCCGTACCCGGCAGCACCAGGGTTGCAAATGGGTACCCGTACCCGGCCGGGTACGGGTACCCATTCCCTACCCGTACCCGTACCCTACCCGAAATGAGTGACAAACAGTTACTCACCAGTGACTCACGGCCTACCCGTACCCGTACCCGGCCGCACCAGGGTCGCAAACGGATACCCGTACCCGTACCCGGCCGGGTATCGGGTAGGGTACGGGTATCGGGTACCCGGTTGCGACCTCTGATGAACGGTCACCAACGCGGTGTGCAGGCCTCTCTGAAGATCTCCCGCAGGCACGAGGCGAAGCTGCAAGCGGGAAGCAAAGGTGGCCACGGGGGGGGGGGCCCTCCGGGGAGAGAGCGTGCCCCCCACGATCCACAAGCAGCGACAGGTGACGCACAAAGACGCAAAGACCTATTACACACAAAGACAAAGATCCCCCGTATAGACTAAATAGACTGTAGGGGCAAGTGCTGTTAGCGAACACCTATGAAGGCCGGCACGGCGCACGAGGGGGTGGGTGGCCAGCAACCACGCCCGGCCGCCTTTGTCTCCTCAGTGGGGAGTTTTACACACAGCACCAGGTACTCATTTGAGGCTGAGTGAGCGGGAGTCGAACTCGGGTCGCCGGGTTTGTAGCGCAGCATAGCGCTAACCACCACACTATTACACACATACACACACACTGCCCATAGACTCAACACTGCCCATAGACTCAACACTGCCCATAGACTCAACACTGCCCATAGACTCAACACTACCCACAGACTCAACACTACCCATAGACTCAACACTACCCATATACTCAACACTACCCATAGACGCAACACTGCCCATAGACTCAACACTACCCATAGACTCAACTCTACCCATAGACTCAACACTACCCATAGACTCAACACTACCCATATACTCAACACTACCCATAGACTCAACACTACCCATAGATGCAACACTGCCCATAGACTCAACACTACCCATAGACTCAACACTGCCCATAGACTCAACACTACCCATAGACTCAACACTACCCACAGACTCAACACTACCCACAGACTCAACACTACCCATAGCTTCCGCTCCCAGAACATTAAAACCCCACAACGCCACCGCCACCACCGTCGCCTCCACCACCACCAGAGCCATCAGAATCTGTTACTTACACCCGAAGAATCCGATGAGCTAGGAAGCTCTTTTTCACCCATATCCACCTGCCCCCCACCTCACTCCACCCCCAGGTTCACATCTCGCAGCTTCGAGTCGTCCTCTTCGTCGGGGGGCTCCGAGCCACCCCCCTCGCCGGCGCGTCGCAGGAGGCGGACGGCACCGGCGGCGGCGATGGCGGCGACGTCGTCGGCGTGATGGCGGCGTGCGTGTCGGTCGCGTCGGACGCGGCGGCGGTCGCCGGCCTGGCCACGGCGTGCGTGGCCGCGGCGCGCGGCAGAAGGAGGCCGCGGACCCCCGGGGGAGCCGAGCCGTCGAGCCCCTTCCGCCTGTCGGCGTCGCTCGACGAGGGAGACGACGTCGATCTCAAGTGATGGCGGCTGCGGCGGCGATGGTGATGATGATGACGATGATGATGATGACGATGATGATGACGACAATGAAGATGATGACGACGATGATGACGACGATAGCCACACCTCTTTCACCCCTCCCCCCCCCCCCATTGGCGCTGGGTCCATGCACCAGGCGCGGCCAAAGGTCGATCGCTCGCTCCATATTCTCCGGATCGCTCAATGCAAGCGGTCCGGGCTTGCAATAGGGGACTGTCGTCATTAGGTGCGGCCATACCTGTCAACCCATTATCGGTGCCCGCATTATCACAGACCAATTCAGAGCTTGTTGATCACCCCATAGCCCATCGTGAATCTCAACGTTCACCCCACAAAGTCCCATCGCAAGGGAGAAATGCAAAGAGACCAAAATTACGGGGGGGGTTTTGGCCATACTGAAACGGCCGTACGCCCGCATGGACCTGAAAAACTCAATTTCCCCATGCTAGAATACGGGGTAAACCGTGTGGGTTGACAGGTATGCATTACACTATACACTACTATACACTACACTATACACTACACTATACACTACACTATACACTACTATACACTACACTATACACGACAATATACACTACACTATACACTACTATACACTACACTACACACTACAATATACACTACACTATACACTACAATATACACTACTATACACTACACTATACACTACAATATACACTACTATACACTACACTATACACTACACTATACACTACTATACACTACACTATACACTACAATATACACTACTATACACTACAATATACACTACACTATACACTACAATATACACTACTATACACTACACTATACACTACACTATACACTACAATATACACTACAATATACACTACACTATACACTACAATATACACTACTATACACTACACTATACTACAATACCTACCTACACTATACACTACACTATACACTACTATACACTACACTATACACTACACTATACACTACACTATACACTACAATATACACTAGTATACACTACACTATACACTACACTATACACTACAATATACACTACAATATACACTACTATACACTACACTATACATTACACTATACACTACAATATACACTACAATATACACTACACTATACACTACAATATACACTACTATACACTACAATATACACTACACTATACACTACAATATACACTACTATACACTACACTACTATACACTGCTATACACTACACTATACATTACACTATACACTACAATATACACTACAATATACACTACACTATACACTACAATATACACTACTATACACTACAATATACACTACACTATACACTACAATATACACTACTATACACTACACTACTATACACTACTATACACTGCTATACCCTCTACACTATACATTACCATACCTGTCAACCCCTTATCAGTGCCCCACCTTATCACAGACCAACTCAGACCTTATTGATCAACCCGTGCTCTTTATAAATCTCAACGTTCACCCCACAAAGTCCCATCACAAGGAGAGAAACACAAACAAATGGACAAAACACTTTCGCCCGTACTGAAACGTCCGTACGCCCGTATGGACCTGAAAACTCAATTTCCCTGCGTAAGAATACGGGGGGCAACCCGTGATGGGTTGACACGGTGTGCACTACCACTCGGGTACAAGGTTTGCTTACCCCTAGAAATGCTACGGCGTTATCGTAACCCTGGATTTGCCCCCCCTGAAATCATGTGCAGAGGTTTAGGCTACGATAAGGAGGGATGGATTTTGAAATGAGGCATTGGCTTTGGCTCTTACGGGGGGGTGGGGACATCTTGATAATTAGTGACGTTAATATTCTTAGGTTTTTTTCGGTAAAGTCACGTAAATTCATAAAAAGTGTGCCGTACCTGGCCCTTCCCCTCTCCAACCATTATATATACGGAGTGGTAGCTCTTGCAATCTCTCATTTAGTTGATACAGCTGTCGTGGCTGTGACGGTTCCACCTGAAGACGGAAGCTTGTGTTGCCTCCGAAACGTCGTGAATTTTATTTTATTTTACTTTTATTAATTTAAATTTTTTAACTACGTGACTTTACCGAAAAAAACCTAAGAATATGAATCCTTGCAGTCACGAAAGCTTCAAATCTAGAATTTGTGACGTTAATTGCCAAACGTGCAAGGAAGAGCCGTTTCAAATGTATCACGCCAACGTGGGCGACCCAATTTGAATAACATTTGCATAAATTAAATCAGATGAGCCAGATCGCAGAGAGCTGGGGGTCAATGTTGTAATTCATGGCGATGATGTCATCGTCGTCGTGACGTCATCGCCGTGATGTCATATCATCATGATTATGACATCACGACGATGTCGTCATCATAATGACGTCGTGATGATGACGTGTGATGATGATGACGTCATGTTGATGATGTCGTCGTGACGTCATCGCCGTGATGTCATATCATCATCATGATTATGACATCACGACGATGTCGTCATCATAATGTCGTCGTGATTATGACGTGATGATGATGATGACGTCATGTTGATGATGTCATCGTCGCCGTGACGTCATCGCCGTGAAGTCATCATCATGATTATGACATCACGACGATGTCCTCATCATAATGGCATCGTGATGATGACGTAATTATCATGACGTCATGGTGATGACGTATTCGTCATGATGTTATAATCGTCATCATCATCGCAGTGCCACGATTTCAATTATTTCTCCACTGCCATGTCTCTGTGTGTGTGCACGTGCTCATTGCATCTCTACCAGATCACACACTCACCAGAGCGGTGAAGTATGGACAGATATCTTGCCCTTCTCACCCCACCCCCACCCCCCTTCCCCAGCCTTAGAGCTTGGGAAAATCCTTCATCCAGCAGTAGAAAGACCATGGCCGCCGCCTACGACGACGACGATGATGATCACCTTCTTGGTTCTTTCGGTAAAGTCACGTAGAAGGAAAATAATAAAATAATACAAATAAAACATTATAAAATAATTCTCACGACGTTTCGGCCACAACGCAAGCAGCCGTCTTCATAGACTCAACAGGTCTGTTCTCCACCTGAAGACGGCTGCTTGCGTTGTGGCCGAAACGTCGTGAGAATTATTGTATTATGTTTAATTTTTATTATTTTCCATCTACGTGACTTTACCGAAAGAACCAAGAAGATGAATCCCTGCAGTCACGAAAGCTTTAAATCGAGATGATGATCACTTTGACGATGATCACTTTGACGATGATCACTTTGACAAAGCTTTGGCCCCCGAGTTCAATTCCCGCCCAGATGCCTCTCACTCTCCGAAGCCCCTGGGGCAGTACCCGAGCGACTTGCCACCGACCCCGCCGGCGGGTGCCGTTTGCCACCTCGGTTAACCCCAACGCTCGCAGTTTGTTTCTCTCAGTCATCGCACGGCGCGTGTCCCACTTTGCCTGCCCTCGACGGGACGACGACGCGGACGGGTTTTTGGATTAGAACTGCCGCGGCTCACGCCTTTCAGTTGTGCAAACGTGAGTCTATGGGCAGTGTTGAGTCTATGGGTAGTGTTGAGTCTATGGGCAGTGTTGAGTCTATGGGTAGTGTTGAGTCTATGGGCAGTGTTGAGTCTATGGGCAGTGTTGAGTCTATGGGTAGTGTTGAGTCGATGGGCAGTGTTGAGTCTATGGACAGTGTTGAGTCTATGGGTAGTGTTGAGTCTATGGGCAGTGTTGAGTCTATGGGCAGTGTTGAGTCTATGGGTAGTGTTGAGTCTATGGGTAGTGTTGAGTCTATGGGCAGTGTTGAGTCTATGGGTAGTGTTGAGTCTATGGGTAGTGTTGAGTCTATGGGTAGTGTTGAGGTCTATGGTAGTGTTGAGTCTATGGGTAGTGTTGAGTCTATGGGTAGTGTTGAGTCTATGGGCAGTGTTGAGTCTATGGACAGTGTTGAGTTCTATGGGTAGTGTTGAGTCTATGGGTAGTGTTGAGTCTATGGCCTAGTGTGAGTCTATGGCAGTGTTGAGTCTATGGGCAGTGTTGAGTCTGAGTCTATCGGCAGTGTTGAGTCTATGGGTAGTGTTGAGTCTATGGGTAGTGTTGAGTCTATGGGCAGTGTTGAGTCTATGGGCAGTGTTGAGTCTATGGGCAGTGTTGAGTCTATGGGCAGTGTTGAGTCTATGGGCAGTGTTGAGTCTATGGGTAGTGTTGAGTCTATGGGCAGTGTTGAGTCTATGGGTAGTGTTGAGTCTATGGGCAGTGTTGAGTCTATGGGCAGTGTTGAGTCTATGGGCAGTGTTGAGTCTATGGGCAGTGTTGAGTCTATGGGTAGTGTTGAGTCTATGGGCAGTGTTGAGTCTATGGGTAGTGTTGAGTCTATGGGCAGTGTTGAGTCTATGGGTAGTGTTGAGTCTATGGGCAGTGTTGAGTCTATGGGCAGTGTTGAGTCTATGGGTAGTGTTGAGTCTATGGGTAGTGTTGAGTCTATGGGCAGTGTTGAGTCTATGGGTAGTGTTGAGTCTATGGGCAGTGTTGAGTCTATGGGTAGTGTTGAGTGTATGGGTGTGTGAGTCTATGGGCAGTGTTGAGTCTATGGGTAGTGTTGAGTCTATGGGTAGTGTTGAGTCTATGGGTAGTGTTGAGTCTATGGGCAGTGTTGAGTATGGGTGTGAGTCTATGGGCAGTGTTGAGTCTATGGGTAGTGTTGAGTCTATGGGTAGTGTTGAGTCTATGGGCAGTGTTGAGTCTATGGGTAGTGTTGAGTCTATGGGCAGTGTTGAGTCTATGGGTAGTGTTGAGTCTATGGGCAGTGTTGAGTCTATGGGTAGTGTTGAGTCTATGGGCAGTGTTGAGTCTATGGGAGTAGTGTTGAGTCTATGGGTAGTGTTGAGTCTATGGGTAGTGTTGAGTCTATGGGAGTAGTGTTGAGTCTATGGGTAGTGTTGAGTCTATGGGTAGTGTTGAGTCTATGGGCAGTGTTGAGTCTATGGGTCGTGTTGAGTATGGGTAGTGTTGAGTCTATGGGCAGTGTTGAGTCTATGGGTAGTGTTGAGTCTATGGGTAGTGTTGAGTCTATGGGTAGTGTGAGTCTATGGGCAGTGTTGAGTCTATGGGTAGTGTGAGTCTATGGGCAGTGTTGAGTCTATGGGTAGTGTTGAGTCTATGGGTAGTGTTGAGTCTATGGGCAGTGTTGAGTCTATGGGTAGTGTGAGTCTATGGGCAGTGTTGAGTCTATGGGTAGTGTTGAGTCTATGGGCAGTGTTGAGTGTATGGGCAGTGTTGAGTCTATGGGTAGTGTTGAGTCTATGGGCAGTGTTGAGTGTATGGGCAGTGTTGAGTCTATGGGCAGTGTTGAGTCTATGGGCAGTGTTGAGTCTATGGGCAGTGTGAGTCTATGGGCAGTGTTGAGCCTATGGGCAGTGTGAGTCTATGGGCAGTGTTGAGTCTATGGGCAGTGTTGAGTCTATGGGCAGTGTGAGTCTATGGGCAGTGTTGAGTCTATGGGCAGTGTTGAGTCTATGGGTAGTGTTGAGTCTATGGGCAGTGTTGAGTCTATGGGTAGTGTTGAGTCTATGGGTAGTGTTGAGTCTTAGGGTAGTGTTGAGTCTATGGGCAGTGTTGAGTGTATGGGTAGTGTTGAGTCTATGGGCAGTGTTGAGTCTATGGGTAGTGTTGAGTCTATGGGTAGTGTTGAGTCTATGGGCAGTGTTGAGTCTATGGGTAGTGTTGAGTCTATGGGCAGTGTTGAGTCTATGGTAGTGTTGAGTCTATGGGCAGTGTTAGTGTATGGGCAGTGTTGAGTCTATGGGTAGTGTTGAGTCTATGGGCAGTGTTGAGTGTATGGGCAGTGTTGAGTCTATGGGCAGTGTTGAGTCTATGGGCAGTGTTGAGTCTATGGGCAGTGGTGAGTCTATG